AGTGTGCCGCGGCACAGTGGTTGAAAAACACTGTCTTATGACACAGAGAAACACCGTACTTTAATTTGGAGGCATATGTATGTACATGGTGAGAACAACTAATTTTGGGAGTTTGCCAGACGGAGGGCCTTGGGTAGTGATGAAGAACCTTTTTGGCACGGAATGCCCAACCCAGAATGTGTGAGTTCCTGTGTGCCAGAGCCCCAAAATCTCAAAGACCAGCTGGACGGTGTACCTGTGCGTGCCGGCCAGCTGGTCTTTATACGCACCAGAGCCCCGGAAACACACACTGGTCTTTGTGTTTCCAGGGCTCTGGCACACACAAAGATCAACTGGCCAGCGTGCATGTGTGCACCAGAAAACAGCGAACAGCTGGAGATGGCGCATGTGCCCACAGAGAGAGCTCTCTGCGTGCCACCACTGCACATGTCCTATAGGTTCGCCATTACAGACCTCGGGAACAAAGCCATTACAGAACCTTGTAGTCTTGCTAGAAATACTTTAAAAAACCCTCCCGCAGGGGAGCAACAGAAACAGAGCCTGGAGTGAGTGTGTGGGGTCTCTAACAATGCTTCAAGCTCTAAGCACAGAGCGCTTATAAGCAGCAACCTGAAAAATGGGAAGGGAACTTTCTGTAATCTTCTCTGCTGTCCTCACCACTCTCTGTAGGGACTTTCTATCTGAGGCTCAGCTGACACCAAGTCAAACAGGGATGCAGTTTGTTAAAGCGCTCTTAATCATGCCTCCGTAAAAAGTGGCCAGGACAGAAGGAGAAAAATGTGGCTTCCTCCTCCGACGCAGGAAATGCAGACACTGGTTTGCCAATCACAGTTTAGGAAATGGAAAAGGAGAGGATGCCAGGCGACGGAATGTTGCATCCAGTTTTGATTGCCACAATGTAAAAAAAGATATTGAGACCCTGGGAAGAGTGCAGAGAGGAGCAACAAAGATGATTAGAGGACTGGAGGCTAAAATATTTGAAGGACAGTTGCCGGAACTGGGTTGTCTAGTTTAATGAAATGGTAGGGTCTCCTGCTTGAGCAGGGGGTTGGACTAGAAGACCTCCAA